CAAGCCATGCACAAACCCAACACAGAGAAGCCCAAGCCACTCGCAAAACATCTTTCTTCGCCATCCCAGCCACCAGCCGAACCCAGAACCATCTCTCTTCTCCATTTTAGTCTAATTCGTAACAATTCCAAAATAAATAAATAAATAAATAATGACCCAGAAATAGAGAGAAGAAAGAAGAGAAGAAAGAGGAAGAAAAGAAAAGAATAAGAAACCTGGGTCTGCGTATGATGCTGCTCCTATTTCTATTTGGTAGCTTCCTTCTTGCTAATGATGTTTCAACAGCTTAGTTGAAGAAGAAGAAAACGAGAGAAGGAAAAGAGAGAAGAATAAATAAAAGAGAGAAAGAAGGAAAGTAAGAATAGAATACTAGGAAAAAAAAAACCTAAAAGAGAGAGAGAGAGTTGGCAGCATCATATTTTATTCTTATTTAGGTTTTTATCAATTCACACGGTTGGCTTGGCTTGTATAATTAATTTTTTTAGTTATTTATTTTTAGGTTAAAATGTTTAATTAAATTTAAATATTAAAATAATTATTTTTTAGTCCGACAGAGCACCAAACATAGGTCTTCACTATTTTTACAATCCAACTTCTTAGTCCAACACAGCACCAAACATAAGTCAGTACTTAATCCAGCTTAGTTCAATCCGAGCTAATCCAAGACAATCCCGGAATTTAGTCCAGTCCATGACAGTCCGCCGTACCAAACGACCCAAGTGCTAAAACTTGGGTAATGTATAGAATAGATAGACCCCTCAAAGTCAAATGGGGTTCATAAAATGATGTCCAAATAATTATAATGGTTTTTGTCAGAAATAGACAATACAAACATCGGTTTTCAATGGTTCAATGTACCTACTATAACTATAGCTTGTTTTCACTTTCTTTAATTAATTAGAAAACTTAAGAGTGTATAATGGGGGAAGGAGGCTTGAACAAGGGGGAGACAAAAGACATGATCGATGGATTTATGAAGTGGAAACTACAAAAAAAGATCGCATTGCAGATTACAAGGAAAGCGCACATGGAAATTACTGCTAACAAAGTTTGACTTTAGCACAGAAAACTCTGTTTAATGTAGAAAAGAAGCAACAACAACAACAAAAATTAATCAAAATGCCAACCAGACATTAAAAAAGTTGGCTCCTTGACCGACAACAAACCACAATTCTAGTTGGCTGAATAACTATGATCAACCACCGTGAAGCCCCCATCGACAACCAAGTTGTGTCCACTAACATAAGCAGATTCATCAGCAGAAAGAAACAGAGCAGCCTCTGCCACATGCCTAGCCTTCAACACAATGCCCTTCAAGTTGGCTATGGCAGAGCTATTAGCCTCCACCTCACTTGGCTGCAAGTTGTAAGCTTTACATGAAAGAGGGGTTGCAACTCCAAATGGGGAAATGCTATTCACTCTGATCCCATAAGCCCCAAGCTCACTGCAAGCTCCTCTCACCAAACCCAACAGAGCATGTTTTGAAGTTGTGTAAGCATGTGGAGCTGTACCTCCAAGAGAAGCTGCCACACTTGTTGTGCATATGATTGAACCACGTATCTTTCGAGCCACCATGGCACGCGCCGCGTGCTTGATCGTTGCAGCAACGCCGCGAACGTTGGTGGCCATGGTGTTGTCAAAGCCTTGAATGTCAAGGTCTAATATGCCAGTCATTGGACCCATGACACCTGCATTGCTGAACAAAATGTCAAGGCTGCCATATTTGTCCAACGTGTAGTTCACTGTTTTCTCAACTTGGTTTTCATCTCTTACATCACAGTGGCAATAGCTAACTCTTTCGGAGCCTATTGAGGCGACAACGTGAGGACCCAATTCATCTTGAATGTCAGCAGCAACAACAAAGGCTCCATTTTCTGCAAATAGTCTCACTGCCTCCTCACCAATCCCACCGGCTGCACCTGTGATAAGGGCCACCTTGCCCTCCAACCTATAAAATCATAATTGTTTATATTTGTTTATATTAAGAGCATGCATTTTAATTAAGGCAATCACCTTTGAAGATGTTTGTGATTGTGAGAGTGAAAAGGAATATGATGTCCAAAATCCAAGTAAACTGATCAAGCACTTGAAATGATGTTACAAGAAAATTAACATTGGAACTCAGCTGGAAGATCTAATAAGGTTGAGATACAAAAAGAAAGAATTTGAATTTCTTACCTTGGCTTAGACATTGATGAGGTTTCTTGTCCTCTTTATGGGTCTGCTCAAACTTCCAAATAAGTCTCTTGGATCTGCTGTTTATAGTGCCCCAGTCGTCTCATACACTATATATAATAATAATATATTGATAGGCTGCAGAGCTCAAGGCATAAACATGTGGAAAAACAATTATATATGCATTAACATGTTCATTAAGTGTTATAAATTCTTGAAAAACGTCGAGGCTGTTTTTCACCTTGCCTTACTTTGAGAGATCGGGGACCATCGCCTTTAGGCCCCATTTAGATGGTTGGATCACAAAAATTGAACACATGACTAGTATTTTCAACAAGATAGGGGAAAAAACTTGCCTGCAAGATAAGGGTATACAATACAAGTTTCTCCCTAGGACACCATATCCTATTCCGGATTGGACTATGAATACAAATAATCTGTCAGGACTTGCCAATCGTGTCAAAGTAACCTTCTAATACACAATACAGATTGTGACCCTCCTATGGAGTAATTGGAGTTTTCGAAGGTGTTGCTGTGGAGATTCCTGATACCAAGTCCATAGTTTGAATTGGTTTAATGACAATGAATATTTTGTTTATCTTTATAGTCATTATGAACTAATTTTCCTTGTTAGGGCTACGATGTAGCCTAACCATAAATACTTAATTTCTATAGTTTATATTAATTTCTAATTTCTATTCCATGTTGAGTATTTGTTATTGTTCTTAATACTTTGAATATTTGGCCAATATTTAATTGATTTGTTGATCCAGACGGAGACCGAGAGGAGATGTTTGGCAACTGTCTTATAATAAATATCATATTTTGAATGCGTGTTCGAGAGGGACTAAAATGATTCATGCATTTTTCTTGCAGGTTTTCATAGAACTTAATGGGTTCTTGATATTCTAAATTTTTTATTGCTCGAGAGAAAATGGGTTCTTAATTGAGAATACTTTTGGTTGAGCTCGATTGGGGATATCAAATGAATTAAGGGAAACCAACTGTCAACAAGAGTAGTAGTTAGGGTTAATTAGCTATAAGAATTTAAGTGGAATTGGTTATGGTGAAATTAGATGCTCTAGTGCCTCATAAACTTGATTCTCAAGCATTACTTAAATTGTTATTTTTAATAATTAATTTAATTTAATTAATTGATAATTGCAATTGTGCGAATTGTGAAATAATTGCAGTTGTGCGAATTGTGAAATAATTGCAACGGTGCGAATTGTGAAATAATTGCAAGCGCACAATTCACACAAGTAATATAGAAATAAGTAGAGTATCATTCCCACATAGACTATATTATCCTATTAACTATCAATTATGATTAACTCAAGTGAATATTCAAACAATTGATTAAGAAGATTTATCAGTTAACTAAATTTAAATCATTATTAAACATAACAATTTAAGTGGTTGAGAATCAAGTTTATGAGGCACTAGAGCATCCAATTTTACCATAACCAATTTCACTTAATTCTTATAGCTAACCCTAATTACTACCCATGTTGACAACTAGTTTCCCTTAATTCATTTGATATCCCCTTTCGAGTTCAACCAAAATTATTCTTAATTAGTAACTCATTCTCTCTCAAGCAACGAATTTAGAAAATGAAGAACCCATTAAGTTATATGAAAACCTGCAAGAAAACTACATGAATCAGGTTAGTCCCTCTCAGGCACTCATTCAAAACATGGTATTTGTTACAAGACAATCACCAAACATCTCTTCTCGATCTCCATCTGGATGATCAAATCAATTAAATATTGGCAAGATATTCAAAGCATTAATAACAATAAAAAATACTCAACATGAAATAAAAATCAAACATTAGAAATTAATATAAACTATTAAACTTAAGTATTCATGGTTAGGCTACATCGTAGCCCTAGCAACGGAAATTAGTTCATGAAGACAATAAAGATAAACAAAATATTCATTGTCATTAAACCAATTCGGATGATTGGCCTTATATCTCAAGAATCTCCACAGCAACACATTTGAAAGCTCCAAGGACACGGCAGTAGTACTCGCGCCTCTCTGGTATTTTTGTGGGTGAATAAAAAGGTGGTTTGAAGAGAGATCTTAGGTTGGCCTTATATAGTGTAAAATAATTAAACGTACTCTAAAAAGGTTTGGAAAAAATCTCCTAAATCAAAACAAAATCCTAAACAATTAAGGAAACAAACTAGGAAAGAATCCTTCTTTGACTCCGAAACACTTCATACAACTTGGACGCACGTTTTGGGGTTGTTCCACTTCTTAGAAAATTCTGGAATAATATGAAAATTATAGCTTTATCTCTAAGCTTTCCAAGCGTATATCATACGCCAATAGGAAAAATCGGGAAAGTCTTCAACTCTTCAATATTCCACAGCAGTGCAGTTCTAACAGGATTTCAACTTAGATTGTCTTAACTTGTGATTCTGGAGCAATTGATTTGATTGAAAATTATGAAAATTTGACACGATGGTCTTCAATGTCTTAGCTTTCTTCTCCAATTAGCCTTGTACTATTTACAATAGGAAAAAGAGAATTATAGAAATTGGGGTAGCCTATAGTTTGGCCAACCACACGCTGTATGGCCAGGGAAATAACCCACCCATTAGCACTCAAATTCGAGTCTCCCACCAGTAGATTAAATTAATTTAGACAATTACTTGTATAAAAATAGAATAAAATCTTTCATCTATCACAATAAAGTAGATGATCGATGAATCATGTATAGCCATCAAAACTTTCATTCATAAATTCATCCTTGTGATTCAAGTTGAGACTGCCGTATAAAAAGACAAAGGTGGATCAATATGCAATTGAAGTATAAAGTCGGGATAAAAACTGATGTACAGAATCAAATGACATGACGATTTATAGTATCCAAAGTCTGGCAGATACACACATGAAAGACAGTAGATTGTATAGGCATCCTAAGAACATTAGGTTCAAATTTATAAAAATGTAACTCTTGGCATCCTTCATCTCAAATTGAATGGGGGAAAAAACACCAAAAAGTATAAATTGTTGATTTAGAATTTAATCCGTGTCCAAAAATGTAGCAGAAAGTGATAATCTAGTTGCAAACTGACACCCCAACCGGTCACACCACTTGGTAATTCTCTGTGATCAACTGCGTTCTTTGAGAGAACTTGGGAGGGTTTCCACCTTGCAGAGGTAAAATGTTCACAACCTGCAAAATAAAGTTGACATTGGCAAATTTTATACAAGGTATGAATATGACGCAAATTATGCCAAAACACAAGATGTTCGGGAAAGAATTGAGCAAATGCTTTATGGCTAAAAAAGCTTCTCAAGTACAATCTACTAACGTAAATGCTACTAGAAAGAAAAGTCAGATGTAAGTTATGGCATAAGATCAGGTTCCAATTTATAAACCGTCAATATCATTAGAGAATAAGTGGCCTATTCATGATAGTGAAAGGAAATTATATGTGGCAGAAGATCTCTAATCAATCTCAGAAGGAAATTATACGGTGCACAAGTTAGGAAGTCTTTTCTAACCTTGGTCAAGAATCAGACTGGCCATTTACATGCACCGAAAATTAAAACATTTTTGCTTATTCACATATGCTATGGAGTCCTTGAGTGGACTGACCACACAACCAAAGACTTCCACATGAAGTTTGAGAATTAGCCATGTTTCAAGTGGACTACAGATATACATAATAAATGGGGAGATAATAAAAACTCTGCGGCCCATGCGTGTTAGTGGCGTGTGAAGCATTGAGTTCTTGCCAGTATGATACAAGTTAGAGCATTATAATACTTCCCCAATTCCTGAGGTACCTAATAACATAGTAGGCCAAAAATCCTAGCGGTATAACATGCACAATGGAATCAACAAAGTAGTCACACTTATAGTATGAGTTATTTAAGTCCATCAAAATGAGTAAAGTACGAGACAATGGACTCAACAGAGTATTTGCGCATATAGCATGTGTTATTTAAATTCACCAAAATGAGGAAAGCATGATAGCACAAGGATCTTCATCAAGAAATCAAAGTCAAGCAGTTGTACCTTCAGGTCACTGAATGTACTAGTGGCGGAGAAACACACAGAAATGGGGAAAAATACAGATGAGTCTGCTGGGGGAACAACAAACTCCATCGATCCACTGCCAAGGATTCCAGAAAGATAACAATCTCATTAATGCGAGTATACAAGGACTGTTTAACAAAGCAAAAGAATCAGAGCATTTGCAGACCTGCGGTTCGAGTTATCAACAAGAAGTATGGACCACTCTAACGTTGAATTCCTTGAATCATATCTGCAATGCAAATGTTGATATCAAATATAAGAAATATAAATTCCAAAAAAGCAGTGAATGTTTCAATCCTTCCAGGAGTAATACCATCACCATCACATGATAGCAGGGACACCAGGCATATTCCTGGACCTATTTCCCAGCATATTCCCAGGCTTTTTCCATGTTAGTATCCGGTACCAACATCTACACAAAAGGATGACGTATAGGGGTACCCATATCCTACCCGTTGTTCATGCAATCACGGGTACTTCCAGCAAGAAATATATCAAAAAGGAAATGAAAAAAGAAAAATTTCCACAAAACTACTTAACGAAAGTTAAGATATCACAAAATTGACAATATGTGAACCCATGTATACTCAAAATTGCAGCCACCCAAAATTCCTAGTTCCAGGCTAGTTATCAGAAAAGTTAAACCAATATAACTAGTAATAATTGTAAAGTTCTACACACAACAGGACAATGTTGTTTATACTAATAGAGCCAGATTTTATTTTCCATTGAACTACAGTTTCAAAGCCACACAGGGCAGCATTTACAATTTACAATCAGCAAAAAACTTGACTAGAGATCGATGTGACCAAAAATAATTCTTCAAACGCAGATAGAAAACACACACACAAATGTATATATATTATATGGTGCAACTTACATAATTTTTTAAATCACAATTTTACCATTCTATTGATGCAACTTAAACTCAAGGAAGCATCAAAGGTTAAAAAATCAATTTAAAACATCTTTCACGTAATCACCACTTAGAGAATCATGAATTTAAAATAAAAATAAAAAAGCACTGGAAACAGTATCTCACAAATATCATCTTAACTCCACCCTGAATCAGGACCCTAGGATTATGAGCATGTCCATAAAATCACAGCCACACAGTTTAATGTAAGGTACCAATCAGAAAAGAATCCCTCTGTATCCACATTCATGTTCACAGTGGAACATTTTGTACCAGTAAAACGACGACCATATTCAGTGTGTATGGCTGTAATCCAAGGTGCCAAAAGCTAGAGTAAATAAGAAAAATAAAGTTGACTTTTCTCACCTCCATTCACCATCAACCTGGCTTACTCGTGGAGCCTCTCGAAGAGCTGGCAGAGGTACTGAGATGACAACATTTCGCAGATCAAACATCTGTGAAGCTTCGTATTCAATGTTGACATAAGTTTCATTCCCAGAAACAGAGGGCCAACAGTTGACTGCAACAGAGATAGATTGATATTTAATGATCAGAGCATACAAGATAAATTGTGCATCAAGATGATGAAAATACTTGGAACCCACTTGTCAGGGGCACCATTGACTCGTCTGTAGTCTGCATTCTCCACTTCAAAAGACCAACACCTCCTGCATCACCAGCTTGACCGGTGGGAAAAGGCCTAGAAGGATCCCTTAGGCCTAGAATGTTTTCATTGGAGAACAGTTCTTTGTTCATATTAGGGTGTGTTTTGAAAAGGATGCCAGGATTTGCACCAGTTTCAATCTGAAAATAAGACAAAACACATTGCAATTACACAAAGCATGACCTACTTCAAAAGACAACATTCAAAATAGACACAGCTCTAGAAGTCTCCCATCCCATGGAAAGGATAATTATGAAGTTCCTATCTGATTTAGAGCAAGCCTAGTAATCAAATAAGTCAGTTGTAAGATGTGTTACTTAAACATCATGAAATGTTAAAACTAAAACTACCACCTCGATAATGCCCATGGTAATATTTCACACAGTACCTGGACTTGGATATGTGCATCTTCTTGGTTAAGAATTTGCAGAGATAATGTCCCCTGAACATCAAAGTTGCTCATTCCACCATCACGTTTAAGTGTAACATTGAGCTTCTCTTCAACATTCAAAGTGACGGGATCAGTTAGAGGTGGAGCAGCTGATTTAGACTGGCCTGCTTTTGGCTGTACATCTTCAAGAATCACCTCCCCCTCTGCTTTCAGGGACTCTAAAAATTGGTTGGTCCTTTGTGATTTTCCCAGCTGCATACCTAAACCCTTTGGAGGAGCGGTGGCAGATGAAGGTGGACGACCTGACAATAGAAGTGCATATGGTAAAAACAAGTAGACTTAATTATACAATAAAAAATGAATGTGAAAGGCACAATGGTGGCCGATAGAAATCGTGTACATTATGTGCTTTCAATGTTTTCCTACACATACTATATAAGAACAGCTTAACAAATATAGCATTTTGACTAACATCAGGGAACTACATCATATGGTTTACGCATATCATAATCGAATAAGAATTTTAAATCATGTACCACACACCACCATCACCACAGCTCATTAATATCAGAATGAATCACAGATTCATGCAGACAAATAGAGACACAAACCTTTGGTCTTTGTAGAAAATGAGTCAATATCAGTGCTCAATCCAAAACCAGAACCACCTCCGAAACCCCCACTTCCACTACTAGATATGCTCATATCACTAAAGGTACTCTCAATTCTTCCAGATCCCATTGACTGTAAAGACATAAATCCACCCTTTTCAACTCTGCCCCTATCAATCTGCAGAGAAACACGACATAGTATTGTTAAACAGGAGGCTTGCAAAGCAAAGCACAAAGCCACTACAGGAGCCATCACAGGGCCCTAAATAATTACCTTGCTTTTGTCAATCTCACTAGCTTTCCGTTTCATAACATCCTTGGTTTCGTTTATCTTGCTCTGCATTACGAGCTTATGCAACTTCTCTTCATGACTCTCCATCTCACAGTACTGCTTAACCTGTGCAACAGTCACATTTTCCTTGTGCCCAAGAGAGATGACTTCATCAAAAGCAAAAATCAGCTCGAATGCTGTCCTGCATATACCTTCTTCATCTAGGGATAAAGAATATTCAGGTACCTAAAAACACTTAAGGAATCAACTCGATGGTTAAAAATCCAGAAAAGAAAAGACATGGCTCAAAAATAACTTATGGCCCACCAGAACCATGGTATGTTCTGGCAAGTAAATGGTGCACGTTGTTAGACTTGTTACTTGGTTGCATAACTTGAAGGAACATCCATACATCTACATGCATGCAAAAAAACACAAACACTTGCGTACATATACATAGGATGAGAAGACCAGAAACTGTATACACAAACTTTGCCCTAAGTTCCAGCTTTATTTACTTTTCACATTTAAAATCCTTTTTCTTCACCATTTATCATGGTAAGTTGAGAGTACCCGTTTGGAAGAACAGAATGGCCACAAACCATGAACCAAGATGTGTGATGTGAATCGCAGTTCCCAGTGGAGTAGGGGAATAATAAAATGAAGGCATGAGCACATAAATCAAATAAATAAATAAAGGATCTAGATCGATTCTAACATTTTATCACTATCATAGCAACAAGTGAATTGTTCTGCAAAAAAACAGCAATGACTGATAGATCCAAGAAGTCGAGTCATTAAAACAACATGAAAACAATCATAGGCCAGCGTAAGAAGGATACAAGTTTAGAGAGCAGCCGCAAAGTCTCCAAATCTTCCAATATATTGCTCTGCTTGTTTGTAACAAGTAGCAAGTACAAAGATTCTATCGGCTGGTAAACATAGCGCACATTTTCTGTCTCAACATATGTATGTTGTTTGCCAGTGCCTACCAACTTAGGGAAAGCCGCAAGAAGACCCTCAATTCTTATACGAGACATATCCACAAACTGCCTAGAAACAAGCACTGCAAAATAAAAAATAGAAAATAAATATAGATAAAATTTTAACAACTCTAATGATATGCACCGTTGCAACAAATTTGTTACTAGCAAGTCAAATTAAGGCAAAAGAAAGTGATGTTAAAATAGCTCAGCCAAAAGTAAAACTATTTCTTTCCCTTTAATAACCCCCAGATACTGCATAACAAAACAGAAAATGAAAACCTGGATTATCTTTAATTCCTGTAACATCCCCAAAGCCATCTCATTTCCCTCTCTCTTACTGCAAGAAACTCCATTGACTAAATTCATCACCAAGATTGTATGAGAGTCTTGTGAATCTCAATGAAATAGATAAACCACTGTAATTGTTTGGTTAAACCTTAGTGCACTAGTGCATGAGACACAGCTCAGACTGCCTTCAAGGGCGTATCAATTTCCTAATTCAATCAGTGTCATTCTTATTTATTTCACCAATAAAAAATTCCTACACTTCCTCATGTGTACTTTATGTAGACAAAGGAAAAGGCAAGAATTATCATTATCAACCAACAGAAACCCACAGAAACATAAGAAAAATGCACAGAACTCACCTTTCCCAGACTTGCTTATAATTGAAGAAGCGAGCACAACCTAAATTACAAATAGAGGGGAAAATGAGAAGAGATATTCCAAGAAACCAAAAAATTATTAGGGACGACATTCTTAAGTTGTTTATACACATTTAAACCACTCAATAAGGAAAACTCTTTGCATTTAACTGAAGAGAAACACAATGAATTACATGATTATAAACTCGTACAATTACCATAAACTATTCTGGATCCAAGTTAAACTGACTGAGCCTCAGAAATTTATACTCGTATATTTATTTTGCGGTGGCATCTTCAGTCGAACTTGCATACAGAATAGTTTTCCATGTTGAGTGGTTAAAATGTATGAATAATACTACTATCAATCACCAAAACCAGATAATCATTACTCCACTGAGAACATCACTCAAAAATTAAATGGAAAACTAAGAAAAGGTCAGATTGTTACCATCTTGATTCACTTGGAGATTTTTGACAGCCACCAACTGAAAGGCAGTAAAAAAAAATATTAGAGGGAGCACCTTAAAAATGAAAGTCTCGTGAAATGTCACAAAACTAAGAATAAAAATCAGACAACCCAAAGTAATCAGAAAGATGGAGGAGGGCATAACGAAGCATCATGATCTCCCACCATTTTTGCATCACTCAAATCACATGTGAGCTTGATTATAAGAAAAAACAAAAATATCAAATTTGAGCATGTGTGCAAACAGAACTCAGCACAAAGTGAGAGACTAAATGTGTGAACATTCGGAATCCGTGGCTCAACTATATGCATCAAAGGCTCATATCCACATTTGGTTTGCATGGGATCTAGTCACTCCACCATATAATTCTCTATATAAAACCGAATTGGGAAGAGAACTTCATTTTACAATCCCAAGTCAGTAACAATTTTCACATAACAAACTAATTTTTCCCCAAATGCAATTAAACTGCAAGCTAAAATCAGATCCAACAAATTAAACCTTCATATGTTTTTGAAATGTTATGTTCATGAACTCTAACGAATCTAAAGATATTAATATCAGATGGCATTACAAAATTGAAGAATTACTGAAATAAAATTCTTACTGAAACTGTATCTCATCAAAACAGGCAACAAGACGAAATCAAACTAAAAGATCTACTTTATAATCACCACAATCTCAAGCGACACCGAACAAAGCTTAAATCAGCCACAACGATTGCATCCCGATAAAACCCAAGAAAATTGAAGAGATCAGAGACATTTTGAAAACCACAGATCTAGAATGCAAAACGATATTTCTACTCAACCAAAGCCTAAATACAACATAACTATCAAACAGAATTCAAAGAAAAAAAATAGCAATAAAAAGATCAAGCTGGTGAGATCTAAGCCCTTACCGTTGTAGAGAAGAGGAAGAAGACGATGAGGTGGAGGAAGAGGAGAAAGCGAAGAAAATAATTCTATTTCATAAAGAGAAGAGAAGAGTGGGCCGCTTGTAGAGGAGACGAAGCTAATGAAATAGCAGTTTGGATCTGTCTTGCGGAGTGATGTAATACGGCTAACCGGAATGAACACCGTGGCAACAAAACGTTTTTTTTATTTTTTTTATTTTAATACAAGCTAAATTACCGGGAGGGTATTTGAACTCGGGTACAAAGTAAGAAGCACATCCTCTCTAACCAAAACGTTTTAATACTTCAACAATACATTACACATTTCACATTTATTTATTTATTTATTTATAATTTGGTGTATCGGATTGAATTTCTCGTTCTAAAATCAACAGTATTAGATTGAACGATGTTGGCGCTAAATCTGAACAGATAGAGATGAGTGCAACTTACAAGAGATGTGGACGATCTAGGAGATCGATTGAGTGGTAAATGGAGATTCTCCCTGTCTTCAGATGCTGATCCTCAATAGAATATAAGCGAAGCTCGTGAGGTCTATGGAACCGGTGTGGAACCAGCCTAAGACCCTCCGATGCTCAAGTAAGGGTTTAGGGACTCGTGAGGTCTATAGAGGGCATTTTGTATGCTCTTAGTGCTCATTTTCGATGTGGGACTCGTGGGAGGGCCTTATGAGGTCGACACGAGTCTTTAGATATTGGGAGTTTCACTAAAACACCCAAAATGGGGGTTGAAATTATAAAAAAACCCAACACCCAAAACACTTTATAAACACACCCAAAACCCATCATTACACACACACAAGACCCATTTATAAACACACCCAAAAAATATACGATTGTTGATTTTGGGGTTGCTTTTGGGTGTGTTTCTATGTTTAAATAGTGCGTGGGTTTTTTTATAAATACATGTCTAGGATTGGGTTTATTTATAATAATCTATTAGATATTTTGGGCGGGTACTTCGAGGTTGATTCTCTACAATCGGTAAGGGATACCGATTGTAGACGAGTTGGGCTTGTAATGGCTGTTCGCAGCTTTGAGACAATGCCATCGGTGGCCGATGCCGATTGTCCGAGGCCTTGGGTACTTGGGCGAGTTTATAAGATCCACGTGTCGTTGTACGAGTGGAGGGTCAGATACGGTACAAACAAACGAGGAATTTACTTATAAGATCCAACCGAATCCAATCTAGTTGGATTTTATGATAATTATTTCATAGTTCAATATTGTTTTTCTCCATTACTAAAACTGGTCGACCAATACAAATTGGATTGGATCCTAAACTACAATCGAATCGAATTGAATTGGATCGGTTCGTTTTATTGAAATAGACAATTTGAATTAGTCGATTTCAATTATATGGCAGCACTTTTCTAAGATTTTATTATATATTGTTTTCAAGCTAAAAAATAATCCCTTGAGCTTTAAAATTCCAATCAACAAACAAGTTTTAATAATTCAATTTTAACCCAACCCAAATGAACCCGAGACCAACAATTAGCAGCACAGGTTTTATGGAAAAATGGGCAGAAAGTCCGGCCCAAGAACCTTTCTTTGGGTTGAGAAGCTGGCTGAAGCCCAAACAACAAGAGGCCTGACCTGGGCCCTTCTGAGTTTGAAAAAGATAACTGTGGCCCAAATTGGGCAGGTCGTGATTGGCAGTTCCATTTTACCTCTCTCGTCAACTCATCATGCCCCACCCCCACCACCACTACAGACTACAGTCTACACACGGGATTGTCGGCGAGTTGTCTTTTTTACATCTCCAGTCATAATAATTAAATGATAGTCTAATAGTAATTATGAGATTATGAAAATGGTGGGTGAGTGTTTTGTTTGTAAATTGTAATTAGTAGATTTTGCTAGAAATGGATGCTGCTAGTCAAAGCACAGGAAAGTTCAAGATGGTGAAGGAGAACTCAACGTTGGGGCCCATTTTGACAAGTGGCACAGTCTCAGCGTCGTCAAGGAAAGGGTCCACGAATTTGATGCATGCAAATTGCAAATTGCAAATTGCAATGCAATGGTATCGTAGATATGGAAGCTTTTAGAATGCCCCACATTTCCTTGTCTCTCTTTTTCCACTAACAAATATAATTTGGGTTGTCATTTCAGTCTTCGTCTGGTAGTAAGTTGTAGCAAATGACCAGCAACAAAAGAAAAGAGAGTCCCCCAAAGTTCACCAAAAAATGAAAAGAAAAGAGAGTCGATGTTTGATTGGTTGTTGACTCCAAGTCAAAATTCATATTCTACCTATTTAGGACAAAGAAAGAATCATGTCGATTTAAACTTTGGGGATGTTATGGCAATTTCAACAATTTTGTACATGAAAACTGATAAAAGTTTACAACCATTCAACAATTTTGTACAGGTTGTATTTTCATTTCCAATCTCACTTTATCCCTTCATTCTTTTGGTTAAGGATACTAGAATCTTATTCTTTATCATCTTTTGAGTTTCACATTTTTCTTTATGTTTCAAAGAAAATATATATATATATCGTAGGAGGTCACTAATTCACTAAAAAGTGCTCTCAACATTTTTAGAGGGAGTTTAAATGTGAGCTGAAATCCACACAACACTGGCAAACACCGTAAGTGTAGAAATATGTAGTAATTAATGAAAGAAGATTAAACACACGATAATCATTTATATATAATGAATTACTACAATATTTTACACTTTATACATTGCATGGTAAGATACATGAGTGACTTAGTACCACATAGAGTTCCTATGAGGTTCAAAATTTTCACTATCTTCATCATCTCTATGTGTAGAGTAAGTATATTTTGAAGAGTAGTCATCAAATGATAAATCCCCAAAATAGTTTTCCATGTAATTGTTAACATGCCACCCACATGGATCCGAGATTTGTTGACGTTGTCCATAAGCAAAATCATTTGAAGATTGAGTCTCGGATTCTTTCCATGTGTCACTTGATTCCATCCCAACAGGAATGGGATATGAAGGGTAGGGAAATGGTTGGTTATGAGTATAACCATAGTTACTACTTCCTACTCCAACAGAGTCCGAAGTTATAGATAACGAGTCATCTTCTTGACTTGACAATGTCCCCTCGCCTCTTTCTCTACGAGTATAGTTCTTCCCTATGGCACCAATTCCTGGTCCTGCCCGCCTACTGCCATGGTAGGGTAAGTAAAAGCAGGTGAGTGGTTGAATGGTAGGGTAAGTAATGTAAGTTGAAAAAACGTTGGTGAGTTTTATATTTTATCCATTTTGTAAACCAAGCCAGGAATCCAAAGCTAAGTTTTATATTTTATCCATTTTGTAAAAGCATGTGAGCATTCTGTCGGCTAGACATGCTTTGTTTATTAGCTCAATGAGCTACTTTTGTATTACTCTAGGAGACATGCTTTCCGTAGAGTACCCAAATCAGTTCAATGAGCTACTTCAGTTCTCTACATTTTTTGAGTTTCATATCGGGATATTATCGATAATATCTCGATATATTGACCAAATCATTCATAAAAGTGTTGAAAATATCTTTCCGATATTATCGGGATAATATCGGGATAATATCGATATATTGACGATAACTATATGGTTAGTTGTTAAAATATCGGACCCCCAAAAATCAGATATTATCGGGATAATATCGGGGATATTATCGATATTTAAGACCATGAGTACAATAACATAATGTTATTCTCTACCATCTTTTTAATTTCATAGTTATGCCTTTCTTTCTTTTTTGGTTACATTGGGAGGAAAGAAACCCCTTGGGTATCGAACCTAGGTGTCAAGCAGGGGAAAGGGGGGAGGCCACCACTGTGGTACCTGCTTTCAACTACCTTTATTTAAACTATCATGGCACACCACCGACTCACCTAATTTTGATAATTTAGAGTTGTCGGTTTTTAAAGGTTGTGGTAAATCTCGACACTTTTGGAGAGAGCATAAATATGCAAATTTGGGATCCTTTCTCCATTCCAACTTCGTATTCAATTGTATTTATTTGTTTTAGTAAATACATAAAAGTAAGTGAGATGAGAATTTTCTTAAAAATAAATTCGAATGTCATGGTTTCAACAGTTGAATAAAAAAGCGGAGCATAGTGTTTGCGATGATTTAGATTATTCTTCATAAAAACCTAATTAACCTTTTTTGCTTGTAAATAAAATACCACCCTACACGTGGGCTCTACACCCAACCACATCGGATTTCAATTTCCAACTCAAAACGAAACTGTAGCAAATATGAAAATAGACCTTCCAGCGTCTTCTATGCCACAGTTTTTTTTAAATAAAAATGTCACGGTTTTAAGTTGAGGTCCTTTCCAGAACTTTCCCGGAGCAGCCTCTTACCGTGGGATGAATTCACAAAGACACGTGTACGGGAAACAGCACAAGGCCATCCCAGAAGATGTACTGCATTAACCCAAAATTTCGGGCAAATTTAATTTCATTCCAAGGCTTATATAAACCCCCTTCCACCCCAACACCAAAACCCAACAACATCATCATCCCTCCAGAGCAGTTTCAAAACCATTGATCTCTGCCTCTCTCTCGCCATCTCAAGCTAGCTCTCTCTCTCTCTCTCTCTCTCTCTCTCTAGCTTTGCAAGGGTCAAGGCCCTCTTCCTCTATCAACCTCGTTCCCTTCTCCCTTCCCTTGGACACGTCTCTACCACACAATGGCTCCTGAACTCGTCCCCACCAACTTAGCTAAGTCGGGTTTCACCATACCCGCCACCCTGCCGATCCGGGCATACGTAACCTTTTTGGCCGGCAACGGCGACTACGTGAAAGGCGTCGTCGGATTGGCCAAGGGATTGAGGAAGGTCAAAACGGCGTACCCATTGGTCGTTGCAGTCTTGCCTGACGTCCCGCAAGAGCACCGTCGTATTCTGGAGTCACAGGGTTGCATAGTACGAGAGATCGAACCCGTTTACCCGCCCGAGAACCAGACTCAGTTCGCCATGGCCTATTACGTCATCAACTATTCCAAGCTCCGAATTTGGGAGGTACGTTCTTTAGCTTGCTTACGTGGCCATGCCATATAATTATGTGCACTTTTAGTTACACGTATAATTTGCTCTGCTCTAGTTCTTACACGTGGCAGGTAGGCGACAAAAAAACTTGTTTATGAAAAAAATTAGGTTGATTCTTTCATTTCTTTTGTGTACATCATATTTGGTTGGTTGATTAGATCAAACCCACAATTTGGTAGAGTTAAATTTAAAATATAACATAATCCACCTAGATCGGTTGATCTTTATGTAGAATTATTCTAAATTAAGCATGTCTTGTAATTGTAGAAGTGAGTTATGTTAGTTAGGCAGTGAGCTGCCTCTTGCACCCAAGTTCAAATGCCTGCCTAATTTAGACTGTCCTTTGCACCCGAGTTCAAATGCCTAAATTAGACTATCATTTGTATATCGCTTTGTAAGATTATGTTGATAAGTATATACTAATGGTTTTTTTGGATTAAATTTGCAGTTTGTGGAGTATAGCAAGATGATATACTTGGACGGGGACATTCAGGTGTACGACAACATAGACCACCTGTTTGATCTGCCAGACGGCCACTTCTACGCAGTGATGGATTGCTTTTGCGAGAAAACATGGAGTCACACGCAGCAGTACAGGATCGGGTACTGCCAGCAGTGCCCGGAGAAGGTGCAGTGGCCCACATCGGAGCTGGGTCCACCACCCTCACTTTACTTCAACGCTGGCATGTTTGTGTTCGAGCCCGACCTCGAAACCTACCATGACCTCTTGAACACTCTCAAAGTGACTCCTCCCACCCCATTTGCGGAGCAGGACTATCTGAACATGTTCTTTAGGAAAATCTACAAGCCAATTCCTTTGGCTTACAATTTGGTCCTCGCTATGTTGTGGCGACACCCGGAGAATGTGGAGCTTGACAAAGTGAAAGTGGTGCATTATTGTGCAGCAGTAAGTCTTTTAATTCAAATATCAATTAAGGGGTTTGATTTCCGAAAATGATTGAATATTAATTGTTGCATTGCAGGGATCAAAGCCGTGGAGGTATACAGGGAAGGAGGAGAACATGGAGAGGGAGGACATAAAGATGTTGGTGAAGAAATGGTGGGACATATACAACGACACGTCGTTGGATTACAAGAAGCCGTCGGCACCAGGAGCAAGAACAGCGGTTGTGGGCGGTGCTGAAGGTGAAGGGATGAACATGCAGCCCTTCATTGAGGCTCTGTCGGAAGCTGGTGTGGTGCAATACGTGACTGCCCCATCAGCCGCTTAAGTATGTGGAAGAAGGGTAGGCGTGGAGTGAGAAAGTGAAAAGATTTAGATTCCTTTGTTATCCTTCTTTTTCCCTGGCTGTTGATGAACTGGATGGAATCAAATGCTTGGTGTCGGGGAAAAGCAGGTTTAGAAAGTAAGCAAGCAAGCAGGTTTAGATGTTTTTGCGTTGTTTCATCTTCTTTTGTTTCTGGTTGGACCTGCTAGGGGATAGCTACGGGTTGCTGTGTGTACTCTTGTACCACGTATATAATAATGTAATGTTTATGAAGCGAGTCTGGATTTCTACTTTCAGTTTATCACTTGCCCAGCTTTTCCTGGCTTTCTTGTCCACTGCCTGTCTATTTCCATATTTTTTTCATTTTTTTCTCCAATCGTATAGGCAGTATGATTAACTGTTTACCTACTACTGGTTCCTCATGAGGAGCATCCTGAGATGAGAGTAAATTGAAAACAAAGAGATTTGAATTTTGAACGAGTGAGAGAATGAGGGGAGAATCATCTTCCATAATCTCCAGCAAAGTAAAGAATAAACAAAGAAATGGTAGTAAAATAAATGGCAGCTATTTCATTACACAAAACAATCGGGGAAACAATGCTATTGAGTTAATACCGTGAGAAAAATTGACAACTTACGAATTATTCTTAGACTACAGGTAAAACAAGGCACTGTTTGCAAAAGAAAACACAAACACGGTAAAATAAGGTACTTAAAACGGTAGCAAATGCAAAGCACCAAGGATCAATGTCCAGCTTCGTATTACAGCAGTCGTCACCGCACAAAATTCAAGTCAAGCCATCTATGCCTGCATTTCAACACAAGGAACCCAAAGTCAGGAAAAGGAAACCAAATGCAACAATGGAGTTTCTCAAAATGTATGAGAGTATGCGTCCACCTTGTTTGCAATATTGTTTGAGAGCCAGTCAAGTCCCTCGTACAGTCCTTCACCAGAGGTGGCACATGTACTCTGGATATACCTGCAATGGATAATTTACAAGGTTAGTTATCCATAGAGGGAGGTGCGTATGTGCATATGTGCATGTGTATATGAGAGAGAGAAAAAATATATATTCGGGTTTACCAGTGGCGTTGACGGAGCGAGTGAAGGCCAAGCTTATCAGTAATTTCAGCAGCATTCATGGCATTTGGAAGATCTTGCTTATTTGCAAATACAAGCAGGACAGCCTCCCTCAACTCATCCTGCCAACACATGAAAAACTTAGCTATTAAAAAAAGGATCCTATATAGCAACAGAGGTGCACAAGATTTCATCCCGCTCTTTAGCATTGAGATAAGAAGTTCGAAAGACTATTAATACCTCATTCAACATCCTGTGCAGCTCATCCCTGGCTTCAACGACACGGTCACGATCATTACTATCAACCACAAAGATAAGTCCTTGTGTGTTTTGGAAGTAATGCCTCCACAAAGGTCGGATCTGAAAAATACATTAAAAGCAATCACAAACAAGATAAAACGAAAATCCAGCAGCTTTATAACATTCAACGGATAAAGAAAAAGTATCAATACAACATGTGACTTGTAAGCATATTGGGCACTGCCTCTATTCAAATCAGCATCAAACAATCCACGGGCAAAAGTATTTTACTCAGGCATCACCAAGTATATACATTACACATTCAAATACAGCAAACTATGGAGGACCCATGTTTGTCTCAAGGCTACTAGCAAGGGCATCAAACCAAAAGCAAAAGACAGTCCACAAACAAAACCTTGCCCAAAAGGAATAAACCATGTCACTTTCAAGGTTTGTCCTTGATTATACAAAATCAACTAAATCAGGTGCAATAATCAAAATTTACAAAAGGAATGTAAGATTTTTTTTTTTAAATTAAAAAAAGAGTAAAAAGAAAACAAAGACCATACCTTGTCCTGACCCCCAACATCCCAGACAGTAAAGCTGATGTTCTTGTATTCCACAGTCTCCACATTGAATCCTAACCAAATAGAATTAACATAATTGAAAGCAAATTAATAATTAATAATAGGTGAAAAAGAAATAGATCACGAGCGGAATTCAATGGAGTGGATTAAGGTAGAGATGGGTATGTACGTACCAATGGTGGGAATGGTGGTGACGATCTCTCCGAGCTTGAGCTTGTAGAGAATGGTGGTCTTACCAGCCGCATCGAGACCCACCATCAGAATACGCATCTCTTTCTTGGCGAAGAGCCGACTGAAGAGCTTAGTGAAAGACAGCCCCATTTTTCACCTTCAAATTTTGAAATACAACCCAAATGATCTATCAATCAGCAATCACAGACGATCTTATAACAACAATGAAGGTGTAAATCTGGTCAATTTCATAATGATTTAGGGAAAACAAAGAGATCAGATGTCAAAAAGTCAGAAAATTCGAGATCGGATATCAAAAAGCAATTCACGATGCAGATCTGAGAAGAGGAAGAAGGAAGGGTAAAGTAGGTTACCTGAGGAAGAGCGCGAGCTTGAAGCAACAAATAGATCTACGCTTCTCTTTCTCTTTCTCTGTGTGTATGTGTGTGTCGAAGAAGAAGATGAAGAGGAGCTGTCCTTCACAGCGATACGCACGCTACGATTCACACTATCTGTATTTATAGATCAGATAGAGCGATACAAAAAATAAACTGAATAAGAATACACCTCACCGACCGAATCACATTTATACTTTTTTATTTTTTTATTTTATAAATAAAATAAAATTATTAAGAACAATACATAATGCTTTTTAACCAGTTGGTTGTTAACTTGTTATTGTTGGTTTGATTCGTTGTTAGCCTCCAAACAACGTTTAGCTCACAACTTCCATGATATATGAACCGGGAACAAGGATATTAATAATTTGAAAATAGGTTATATTTTTCTGCCTTGCAATTTCATTGCGGATTAGCCGGAAATTTACCGAGTTTCTACTTTTACGATCCATTCTTATCACTTTCATATTTCCGTTAGTCTACATGGTAGGACTTTGGCTATCATTTTCCAAAAACCTAACCTTAGCAGCATGATTGCGTCTTCTATTCTTGTCATTTCTTCCATTTGAATCTTACCTTGTCTAGTTCTATGTCATTCTCGTCTTGGACATGTCTCTATATCTAGATTGAACTATTTTAGTTTCTACTAGGGCTTTAGTAAAATTAAATGTTCATGAAATATAAACTTGGCAAATTTTGTACATTACCTTTGAATAGAATTTCTTCAGTTTCTCTCGCTCCTGATTTAATTGGTTCAGATGTGTGGAGACTGGCTCCAATTGCTAATCACGGAGGGTCCATATATCATGTTTCTTTTATTGACAAATATTCTTGTTATTGTTGGATTTATCTGATGAAACGTCGTTATGATTTCTTCGCTATCTTTCCGCTAAGATTAAATGTGACTTTCAACAAACGCGTTGCATCATTTCGACCAAAAAAGAAAAGAAAAAACAGAAACGCATTGCATCATCGGTTGGGTAAATAAGTAAAAGAAGCTTCCACAGATATAGAGCAGTGTATCTATCGAACTTCGAAAAAAGAAAGAAAGAGGAATTACTCAACTCATGTGATTATAACTGTTAAAAAAGTAACCTGATTAGAAATTACCAGCTAGGCACAATTTAAAAGCTCCCACGTTAAAAAGAGCGTTTGAAATTTCCGGGACTCAAATGAGATGCATTGCAAAATGTTGACAAGACTTCGATGCCTATTTTTGTTCAACAATCTTCTTCATTGCTAGATTCGTGTTTCCCCAAAAGCTGACTACTTTAATTTCAAAAATAATGGGGGAAATAACTACCAAATTATTTTCTACCGGTTACCTTCCTAAAAACCTTATTTTTGTCTTATATCATCACATAACACCAGCAAAATAAAAGCACTAGACTTTTAAGATCTAATGGACAAGGGAGATAGGATGGGGGTTGATTAGAGTAGAGCTCATAAAGTGGCGTATCTCACTCAGTTGAACCCAAACGGATAATGCAGCTCAAGCAGCAGAAGATGACAGGTCAGACCACCCACCTGTCATCTTCTCCGCCCTCTCTCCACGCTCCCCTGAAAATTACATAAACATGAAACTTTAGGCAAATTTTAAAGAGCAATCATCAATTCCAATGGCCATACAAACATCAGCATAAATCATCTTAAACTTAGATCAGTTTTTTTTTTTTTTGGGGTGAAATAAACTTAGATCAGTTGACAAGTAAAATGTTACCGGTGCGAATTCTTATTACATCTGAGACTGGTACCACTGCACAAGATAGGAAACCTCATTAGAAATTTGACAAAAACTTGAATCTGCATGATATTCAATAGAGAGGCCAAAAATGATATGTCATGTAACTAGCAGAGTGATTGCAGAATATACAGTACAAAGATTTTTGACAGATGATCAGCCTTGTCCAAACTGCTACTTACCATTGAACTTTTAGATGACTAGTATCTCAAATTACAGACATGATAAAATGTAATTTATTGAATCTGATTGCCCCTAATGCTGGAGGGACATGTTTCTTTTTTAGACCATCTATAGATAACAAAACAGAAAGACGCAAATCCATCAAAGAAAACTGTATAGTAAAAAAAAAAAAACAAGTGTCTGAAAACAAAGTAATTTATATATTTCAGATGTACATCATTTTAAAAATAAAACAATTATTATAAATATGATAAACCATGCCCTGATCATGTTAAAGCAACATATCTTAGAATTTTGATATTCCTCTTCAAGGAACAATAGAACAAAGCCTTAACTGAGGGAGAAAAGACAAGGCTGCAAATACACTACATTTTTTAAAATTCTCTTTGACCTGCTTAGCTGCTTACTGTGTCTTTGTAGCTTCGAAATGGACGATTCACAACAAATAAAGACATTTTCAGTCTTACCAAAAATCTTGCCATCACCAATTTCTCCAGTCCTGGCCTCCTCAATGATCTTGTCTACTACTGCTTCAACCTAAGAAGTAATGACATGCAGGATTGTATCAGTGGTTTTTAACAATGAGCATTTATTTTTTTTCCTCTTCCCTGAGATCAAGATGGCAAATTATGTCACATTTTCAAGAAGAATTCATTGTACAACTAAAATGATCACTCATACTCTTCATACCTGGTCTTTGCTCACTACAATCTCCATTTTAACCTTAGCGACAAAATTGTCTTCGGTAAATTCGGAGCCTTACAAAGCAATGCAAAATAAAAATGAAGACAATTATGAAATGATAATACAAAACAAAAAGTAGGAGGATAAATAAGCAACAGAATGGGTAGCGACAGTTATCAAAACCTCTGGTAGATTTAATTAAAATGAAGGGAAAAAGATCTATGCCAAGGCAAGAACATACCACCATGCCTCTCTGTTGAACCACCTTGAGCACCAAAGCCTCGAACATCAGATACTGTAACCCCACGAATACCAATTTTCAACAGAGCCTTTGTTTTCACCGAGGAGATGGCAAAGAAGAAAAAGGTTAGTCATTATGCTATGTTCTAAAGGAGCTTCAAAAATATTACAGATGAAAAGATTGATAACCAGAGAAACACGTATATCATACACTTTCTAAAACCATCACTGTGCATTAGTAGAGAATTGAGAACATGCATCCAAAAAGGATGGGTAAGACGAGAGGGTACCATTCTTATCCTACTATAGACTATAGCCCTACATTCTAACCAAAAAAAAAAAAAAATCATCCACAGGAAACATCTTAATTCTGCAATTTCTCTTGATCATCTTGCTTCTACGTTTCTTTTGGTACACCAAATGGCATTACTTACTGCACCACAGACAACCCACTGGCATGGCAGCATCCTAGGGATGCCTCATGGCTGTAATGGATTGAAAGATGAAGCAGCGCAGAAATGCTGAGAATAGCATAAGTTTATTAGAAGACCAATGCTATTTTGCCTTGACTATGAACAACAAGGTAATGTATACAGAAAAGAGGTGAAAACTTGGTCAGCAAGTTCCTGGTAAGGACTGAGTGATATTGCCATATTGGGGCCGATATTTTAGACTTTCTCAGGCACAAAAGAATTTCATCAACACTGCCTACCAATCATCTTCAATTTTAAGACGTTCATCTGGAAATCAATTTGATTGTGTAAAGGATTAAAGCCAATCCTTGAAGGACACGGTGGGTATTGTGCTTGAGATAACTACACAGGGGTAAAGCCAAAGAGATATCTATCATCTTGTCAAAAAAAATTTGATACCTAAATTCATATTTTTCCTGATTTCATAATCCTAATGAAAAAAGCAATGGAAACTAAAAAAGCAGTAAGCTGTGCTTAAAGTCAATGGTTCTTACCGAAGAAACCTGCGAAACACGCCATGGCCTATTTCGTCCCATAATCAGAACAAAGATTAAGAAATAATTAGACATAATCAAAACCCATAAGCTGAAACGTTGTATACAATTAGGAAAAAGAAAAAAAGATCACAACAGACATGCAGAGCTATAGACAATCAATCCAAACGAAAACATGCATGAATGAGACAAGCTGGACCTAAGAACCAATAATGTATAGAAGAAAAGAAGATTGAGTGGTTTCTGCACCTCAGAATCGCTTCCACTTTGTAAAATTTGGAGTCTGGTACATAATCTACGAGCAACCAACAATAGAGACCATGAAAATTCAAAATCCAAGACACCCAAAACAAAATCTGAAATGACATTCAAAACCCATGAATGATTTTGCCAGAAAAGTTGGTAGAAAAACGAACCATGAGAACTCTGGGCTCTTATCACAGGAAGAACGGACGCATTTCTTGCGTGCTTTAGAGTGACATTGAAGTGAGAGAACCGAAATTCTCTGAGCTTGGTGCGGATCGAGCTCGAATCTATAAGAGGAAGCTCATTGAGGTGGGAACGGAGGGGGTTAAGCAGGCTTGGTTTCGCTATTGCAGCCATGTTTACTGACTAGACTACTGAGCCAGTGAGCCTCTCCGTCTCAGTTGTTGTCAGTTGACGTCGTTGTGGTCACTTGGAAAGTTTTAAGCTTTAAAACGACGCGTGGTAGATTCTTCATGCAATTGCTTTCATATGGGCTCTAGCTAAGCCCATATATATAGCTCAACTGGGTCCAAGCGGAAGATGGGCCAAAGGGAAAGGAGATGGTGATTTGATTTGTTTGTCTGTTGCATCATTTCTTTCCCTTGGACAAGACCGTCTTCCAGTCTCCAGTTTAGGAAGAATGAATGGCTGCAGGTGAGGATGAATATGTGTACAGAATCAGCACAGCTAAGGAGTGGGAAGAGTTGCAGAGCTCTGGGTCTAGTTTCTGTGGAGAGCTTGACAAGACTTCTGGGTTCATTCATCTTAGCAAACTCAATCAGGTTTCTCTCCTCAAATTCTAATATCCCAATTCTTCACTTTCTCAGGTTAAGTACAGGATTAACGCTATTGGGCTCTTTTTCTTTTCTCCCAAACATACTTTCTCAAAATTCCTGCCAAGAATTATATGCACCCAGTACCCAATCAGATTATGTTTACTCTTTGCATCGCTGAAAGATTATGTGTATTGTAATCCTTTTCTTTTTCCCTGTGTTACAAAATCTTATTATGATTAAGCATATTGAACCTTATTTGTCCAAGAATTAGTCTAAATGAGAGAAATTTTGGGTGCTTGGTTTACATTTCAGGTACAGTTGACATTACAGAATTTTTTCCTGAATACTAAGGTGGATCTTTACTTGCTTCAAATTGACACCAAAAAGGTACATATGATGAGAGCATCCATCCATTATGACTTTTAACTTCAATTTCTGTAGTTAGAAATGGGCTATGCCTACAACTATATATTGCTTTGTAAAAATAATTGTTGTCAAACCACTTAGGAGCTAGGATTTCAAAATTTGACAGATGATGGGAACCAGTTAATCCCATTTGCCTCCAAGCAATTATCACCCTATTATGTTCAAAGCGTAGATAATTACTCAACATTCAGAAGACTTTCATTGAAATAAGTAATTGTTTCAGTGCACAATAAAGTTTATTTCATGTATGCTTTATTTTTTATGGAACCTAATCTTGCAACTGTAGGTGGTCTCATGCTTCTTACCTACTTTTGAAATAAGGAGTTATGGAATCTTATACCACTTAGCTGCAGATTAAAAGATAGGAATCTTGTCATATGGCTAACTGTGTCTTCTTCAAAATTTGCCTAAAATCCAATTCTACGTCAACATTCCTAAAATCCATTTTATGCTAGCCTCACGGCACAGAATGCTCCCCAAAATTCATCAAAGACTTTTAAGAATAGAAAGTGCGAAACCTAGACTGGTAGAGAACCACATGTAGCGCACACACACTCACATTTTGCTGGCATTGTTTTCCTTTTGTCTTCATACCTTGTAATCTCAGTATAAATTTGCTCTAAATTGATATGCATTGACGCAGCTGGGCGAAGGATTAATATATGAAGTTGTTGATGGTTCCAATAGCTTCCCTCATTTCTACGGTCCATCGCGAAGTTTCATCCCCCTTCCTCTTGATGGTGTTACAAAAGCAGAGAAGCTGTCTCTGTCAGATGGCCGATTCAGTTGTAGTATGCTGGAATCAGCCGCTTAAGCTCTGATTTGGTTTTCTTTCATCCCCGCTTTGTATTGTGGGGGGGATAGGAGACATTAACAAGTCCCAAGTGCTGTATTGTTATGTTATGGCAGCAAGCTTCATCCCCGCTTTGTATTTTGGGTGCTAAAGATCTCAGAGTTACCCAAGAAAAAGAGCCAAATTTAAATATCCCTTTTGAATCTCTGCACCTATTAGCTTAAGCTTTTAGACTGGCATAGATTCAAAGAGTAGCCTACTATAGCAGCAAGCAACCTCTCACCTTTGCAAATTTCCAACATTACGATCATATATACATACAGCCCTAAAGTCAAGCTCTTCAAGAAACGAAGCAATATATAACCCTCAAATTACATAAAGAGGCAAAATTCAAAGAATAATAACTTTGTTTGATGAAACAAAAATAATTTCTTCGAGTTCTACAACTCTATTACATGAAGTACCATATAACAATAAGGTTCATTTCTTGAAACTCATTGAAGTACTAATTAAGGTTTTATTAACTACTATATAAGTACCATATAATAATAAGGTTCTTCATTTCTTGAAACTCATTTCCAAGAAATGAAGAATTATTATATATATATATGTAACCTTGTATGTATAATGTATTAGGTCTGCACTTTGGACTCTTGCAACTCCTCAAGTTCATAAATGGAGTATATATAACCTTGTACTATTTAACCTTTTATATCAGTAAAAACGTACTTCATCCAACAAAAATTTTGCTATATTTATATGAAAAAAGCTTTAGCACCCAAATTTGTTCCTTTTATATCAGGTAATCTGTGGCTTATAAGTCCATTTTCTAGTAGTGTGACAAAGTTTGCTTTACTGAACATATGTAAAGAGGAATTCCTGTTCACTTGCCAATGAATGAGTGTAAGGGATTCAGAAGTGCACTATATACAATCGACACTGGACAAAATGACTTGGCAGAGTCTTTCTTTTATCTTCCACAGGCACAAGTTATTCAAAGAATCCCATCCTTCATCGCTGAAATCAAAGCTGCTATTTTGGTAAGTCTCTCACAGATCACATTCCAATAAACATGCATGTCATTTTATTTTCAACTTTGTGTTTAATTTATCCTTTCTTAACATTTGATCAATATAGAGTTTACACCAACATGGTGGTAAATATTTTTGGGTGCACAATACTGGACCGCTGGGTTGCTTACCCCAAAAGCTTGCCGGAAATGTTGATAACCATGACTGCCTCAAGTTTCTCAATGACGCTGCAAAAGCATTTAACAAGCAATTGCATACTCTGTGTGAAGAGCTGAGATCACAAATGAGGAGGGCTATTATTGTGTACGTGGATATATATGCCATCAAATACGACCTCATAGCCCAAAAGCTTGCCGGAAATGTTGATAACCATGACTGCCTCAAGTTTCTCAATGACGCTGCAAAAGCATTTAACAAGCAATTTCATACTCTGTGTGAAGAGCTGAGATCACAAATGAGGAGGGCTATTATTGCGTACGTGGATATATATGCCATCAAATACGACCTCATAGCCAATTCAGCTAAATATGGTTCAATTCCAATTTCAATATTACGTGCGGCCAACCGGGTTCCAACGTTTGCAGCCGAGGATCAAAGTTCATAAGCTGGGATGGAGTTCACTATACAGAAGCCGCCAACAAAATTTTTGCCTCGAAAATACTGTCTACTAATTATTCCACTCCTCCAATAAAGTTGGACTATTTTTGCAATGCCTAAACAATATGTGTTTCACAGATGTACCTTTCTCTAGCTTGAGCCTATACTTCAAACACTTACATTGATGGAAACATGTGTAACTGGGAAAGGTTTACTTGTACTCTTGAACCTTATAGTTAGGTTTGCCTTTGTCGTTTTGTTTTTGGTTGCTACTTGTAGTTAGGTTTTAGTCCACTTTAATCTCAATAGTTAAATTTCAAAAAAATTACTGTTATAGTTTCCTAATTTTTTCTACTAATTTTCATTTTTGTCACAAGACTCGTACGTTCTCTTCATAATTGATGTTACAAACAGTTATGCATGGGAATGGTCTAGTTTTGAGGGTTTTTTTAATTATAGATTTAAGCATGAAACTCTCATAATTTTTTATTCCTTGAGTGTAAGTAAATTGCGTACGTGGATATATATGCCATCAAATACGACCTCATAGCCAATACATTCAGCTAAATATGGTACAATTACAATTTCAATATTACGTGCGGCCAACCGGGTTCCAACGTTTGCAGCCGAGGATCAAAGTTCATAAGCTGGGATGGAGTTCACTATACAGAAGCCGCCAACAAAATTTTTGCCTCGAAAATACTGTCTACTAATTATTCCACTCCTCCAATAAAGTTGGACTATTTTTGCAATGCCTAAACAATATGTGTTTCACAGATGTACCTTTCTCTAGCTTGAGCCTATACTTCAAACACTTACATTGATGGAAACATGTGTAACTGGGAAAGGTTTACTTGTACTCTTGAACCTTATAGTTAGGTTTGCCTTTTTCGTTTTGTTTTTGGTTGCTACTTGTAGTTAGGTTTTAGTCCACTTTAATCTCAATAGTTAAATTTCAAAAAAATTACTGTTATAGTTTCCTAATTTTTTCTACTAATTTTCATTTTTGTCACAAGACTCGTACGTTCTCTTCATAATTGATGTTACAAACAGTTATGCATGGGAATGGTCTAGTTTTGAGGGTTTTTTTTATTATAGATTTAAGCATGAAACTCATAATTTTTTATTCCTTGGGTGTAAGTAAACACATGAATTGGAATCATCCGAATCATTATAATACCCATGTGTTAGTAATTGGATAATTTCGAACCCCATTACTAATACGTAAACATGATGTTCCGTGTTACAATCTTTGTTTAGTGGCTTTTTTTATATTATTATTAGTTAATTTAATCTCTTTAAATTTTGGGGTGGCTAGATTCTGGGGAAGGTAGGTTTGAGACTCATTCATGGCTGGCGATAATACGACGGGCCTCGACAATAATGAGTATATTAAAAGCAAAGTTGTGGGCAGCCTGGCTTTCAATTTGCAAGAGAAACGCATTACCATTGAATTAGCAAAATATTACTTTGTCTTAATCTTGGGTCACACATGATGTTGTTCCTTTTCATTCCGACAGACTTGCCATCTATAAAGTAATGCCAATACAAAAGTGTTTATACAATCAGGAGTAGGCTTGATGTGAAATCGTACGCGTCGGTGTGTATTTGTGTCTCTATAATGATTTTCTGGTAGTGTGAACGGTGTAATATAGGATTCAAAATGATGTAACTGGCTTGATTGACACATGTTTTTGTCTTTGCCTCACAATTCCTCAATGATTTTATTAAAGTCTTGTGCTAGACAAAATCATTTGAATGCAACAATGCAAGTGCAAAAGTTTGAGTTTCGGTGTGTGCCTCGAACAACTCTGTTCACATCTCTGAGAGGCGCATTATAGTGAGCAAATTGGGTTTGGTTACTTTAATCATGATAATGATCTTCAAAGTGTAGAAACCATCCATATAATTTGAAGATTCAAATGAATGGGAAGACCTCCAGAGAAAAAAACAAAGATATTTTGTGCCAGTCTTTTCATTGTGGAAGTCTTTAGTCATGAACATGTGAGAAATGTTTACCAATACCAACTCATTTAAGAGGGAAAAAAACAAAACAGAAAATTGGCATTAATCAATCAATTGAGCCAATCAATATATTTTCTGGTTGTGGAGGTTAAATAAGACCCGAGTTTTTTTTAATAAAATTAAGCGATAGTATATTATTGATGAGCAAACAAAAGTACAAAACAACTATGTGTCAAATATGAGTAAATCTTCTCCAATGACCAAACACAATAATATGTTGAATTGATCCAGAGAGAATCACGCAAAATCCAAAATTTTTGTTGTTGGTGTGGTGTGGTGTGGTGTGGTGTGGTGGGTGATATATATATATATGTATGTATGTACCTACCTTTGAACTCCTCATTCAATACTTGTACTTTAAAGTAACGATATAAAATGTTAATGGGAGGATCACTTTAGTCTCTTCCTGGTCTTCTTTCATATCATCCGTCCTTTTTGTTGGAATGATAATGATAATGACAATACAATTGATGAGATGATGATTCTTCCACAACCTCATATCACGAAATTGCCAGCCGAAAAATTCTTGAGCTATAGAATTATTGGTTGGTATACCGTATACGTACGTGATTCTTCATTTATTTATCATCATCTTGGTTGAAGGTTCAGACACTATATAAGTACATAGCGGCAGTTCCCCCTTGATATGTAGGTCTACAGCTTCTCTACTGGTTTGTCTCATAGAATAACTTGTCCCTGTAAATGAAAATATGCTTTAGCAGCTATTGAAATGATAAGGTGGGTAGGGTACGCACGTAATGTTCAGATCAAAAGGCAACAAGTCATACTCGTCAATCCTGCTTTAAGCCTGCCTTTGGGGCTTCTTTTAATCTTATTGTATTTTATCATAAAAAGTTCTCCTATCTTCAACTATTTCATGCCAATCGAATTAGAACTTCTGGCCAGTTTTTAAGAACTGATTTGGAATAAAGAGTAATTTCAAATCTACAGATTTAGTAATCAGATAGATTATCGCAATTCATATATGTTAGGTTTTTTTTTTTAATAAAAAAAATATTAACGAGAGATGAAGATAGTGGAATTTAGAACATCATCTAACATTGAAAAACAAAATACAATGAAAAAGAGCTAGTTTAATACATAATTTGAAATTGAAATAGAGCACGAAAGAAAAAGAAAACATAGATTTAAAACGATTTGAATTAAACAAAATAATTAATCATAGACTGAAATGATTAATGTGAGTATTTCGGATTCATCTTAGATACACGGAGAGAGAGAGAGAGAGAGAGCGCCACAAGTAAAGTATATTCCTTGCAATATGGACAAAAATAAAATAAAAAATTAGTTTTTTTTGTTGCCAAAAATATAAATTAGTTAATGTGCATGCATTTGCATGATGTAACCTGCTCCATATTTTCCCTTTAAAATAGAAAAGTCGTTTTGACTCTTATAGAAAGCAAAGTTTTTATATATATAATAGATGAGCCTCAGAGTGACCAATACTGTCATTTCAATTCGTTAAACCGCATGTTAGAAGATAATTAAAAGCTAACTTTTAATACTTTTTCCAACCAAAATAAAAGAAGAAGAAAAAAGAAGCTCATGAACTTGCCAATCGCATGCCTTGCAATACTAGTAGTAACACAGGCACGTCCTCCTTTGTTCAAAATATAAGTAGATCCAGAGTTTGTATTTGATGCAAATGAAATTCTCCTCTTCCATGCACAAAATGCAGCAGTTAGCAACACAGTCAAGACACGCATGCGACGACTGAATTTTTTTTTGTCTATATACTATATTAAAGTTTTAGTGTCGTATGTCTTAGACTCGCCGTGATCGTGACATGCCATAGTGGGTACAAATTTATATATATGATAAAATCCCTATCCCTATCAAGTATATTAAATTAGCATCTCTTACATGTTAATCCTAATCACAACTTCACAAGAATGTTTGAATACCTAATTAAGTGAAAAAGGGAAGCTTATTTTAGAGCGTCAGCGATGAATTAGGACATGGCATGCTGTATTGTTATGTTGATATAAGGAAACCTAAATAAAAGGGAATGAGATGTGGCTCATAGCTAAAATGAGTTGTTCATAGCACATGGGCTACAATATGTTTCACTATCAATATTCATATTCATATTCATATAAACTCTCTCTCTCTCTCTCTCTCCTCTCTCAATGGTGACACTGACTTAGCATCTAGGTTTGGAAACTGCTGGAAAATGGAAAGTCTGCCTTGCCTGCCTATACCAGAAAAGGGTTTTGATTGGCAGATGAGGTGCTCTTTTTATAAGACATAAAAAAACAAATTGATTGGGTAGTCCACTTCCGATTAACTGTGCAACACCAGCAAGATATTAATTTATATTGGATTTCTTTTGAGCATGGGGAGTTACCAGAAACTCAAGCAAAGTATGTCGTACATGACAAACAAGAAGCTTTAAAATTCGATTTAAATATATATATATCTATCAAAATTAAGTCTACTCCTCGAATATTATTAAAGTGAATAATGCTTCAACATTAGTTCAAAAGCTCCAATTAAATTATTGAGCCTTCAATTGTCAATGAATGAGAGCCAATGACAAGATAAAGCCCTAAAGTCGATCGGTAGCAAATGCGTCCACTCTTCTACACCCTTTTTAATCTTTATACATACATATTGCGTCGTAACCCTTGGCTTTATTCCCAGCATGGAAATTACACGTACCTTCTTGCCCCCCCCCCCCCCCCCCCC